GTCTACCTCAGTGGATCACAGGAACCAAAGTGAAGGCTCTTTGACTTCTTGGCATAGTCGTGCTTACTCACAGGTGGATGCTCATTGAGTATTATGGTCTGTCTCCAGTGGACTTGAGCTCCCCTGGAGACCATGTGACTAGAATTTTTTCATTCTTGTCTTTTTTAGGAGTTGTATATTATGGGATGTATGCAGCTACTGCTAGAGTATTATGGTCTGTCAAGGAGAGCAGGGAGGGGGTGTCACCATGACAGCGGGGTTGCTAAGGGGGCTGGGACGACTAGTGGAAAGGGGAAGGAGTGTGCATGCAATGAGCCTGCTGCATGCATGTCTAGTAGTGCACGAGCGTGCGTGCGTGCGCGTGTGCACGACGGAGGGGGTGGGGGCAAGTTGAGTATTATGGTCTGTCCGTTGCGAGGTAACTATGCAGAGTCTTGTGTGAGTGTGGGAGGGGGGATTATTATGGGATGTCTGCCCCCTTTGTGTGTTTGTGAGGATGTTAGCTAAGCTCTGCCTGTAAGGTTGGGAGAGAGAGAGAAAAGGAGGACGGAGCAACGTGTTTTGGGTCATTGACGGCTCATTATTTTAAATTTCACTGATCGTTGGTTCATCGGGTCTAAATGAATGAACACTAAATGACAACAGCTGGCGGACAAACAGCCTGACTTGTATTAATTCTTGCACCGAGAGAGAGAGAGAGAGAGAGAGCACACCTCGACCCGGGACTACACACACACATACACACACACACTACAGTAAGTTTCCAATGTGTGAAGGTAGGGGCTCAACACCTAAACTTTTTTTTGACGTATTAACTCGACAGTGCGTATTTGCCGCTCATACTTGAAATAACGACGGATACCACTTAACTTCATTTACTCGTGTGTAGAAAAATACCTGCAAATCAACAACAGATAATGTCAGTGCCTAGACAGTCAGTTATCAACTTGTTTGAGTACGCAGGTGGTCAAATAGATGCTATGTAAATAAGAAGAAATGAGTAAGGATTAGCTACTAACCAGTGCCATTTATTATTATTTATTTATTCTTTCAGCACCCACCACCCCTCCCTTCCTGGACACCCCCGGTCCATTCTCCAGCGGTCCCACGTCATTTTCCCTCCTCCCTCGCCGACTGAGTAGCAAGGTTTAGAGGGATTAATTCGACCAGCTAGAAATAAAATTAAAACGCCGGGAAAATGTCGGGGAGCGAGGATGAGAGGGAAGACTTTGGAGCCACGGACGAGCACTCACTTCTTCACGGTAAGCTCGCTTTTTCCTGCTCTGAAAAGGTCCATCTCTATGTGTGACTTGAGCTCGCCTTCACCGCGAAGCTAACGTTAGCTTAAGCTAGCCAGGACTAGTCGGCTCGGGCCGTCCGTCACTCGCCATGATAGATTAGTTAGCTAACTTGGCAAGCGAGTGTTTATAGTTGTCTTCTTTGTTTCTAATCCCCCCTATTCTGTAAACCTCATGCGTGCTTTCTTGAGTGCGGGCGTGAACTGTCAAAGTTTTAAAGACAAGTTTGAACCTGTGTTGTTGTTGGCATTCACGGTATGTGTGTGTGCGTGCGTGCACGAACATCTGCCAAGTCGTGCCAGTACGCTGTCCCCTTTTCTCTCTGGCCTGCAGCAGTACTCCTGTCCGTGTGTGCACAGTACCTTCTCTTACTAATGAAAGAATGTCATCGGCAGATGAGGACGAGCCGGAGGATGCTGTGTCTGACGTAGACGAGGTACCCAAGTCTAAGAAGAAGAAGAAAGCCAAGAAAAGCAGCAGAGAGAGCAGGAGCAGCAAGAGGCAGAGATCCATCAGAGAGGTTTGTAGTCCTGTTTAGCACTCCAAACAAACTGCTAAGGCTGTGTTCAAGGGAACCACATCTTTTTGGACTGTCAGATTTGATACTTGACATGCTCCTGCAACTTTCAGCCCAGTATAGGGGTGACAGCAACAGCTGTGGGAGAGAAATATAGCAAATATTGATGTATTTCCTGTGTAATAGTTCACTTTAAAATAATTGAATGAGCCCTTGGGCTCCAGTTAGTCACTAGACATGCACAAAACATCACAGAGTAGTGGATGTTTTTGCAGCCAAGTCAACATCCTAGTCATGTTTTGTACATAAATTCGGATTGCTTTGGGTTTAGGATGTCATAAATGTAAATTTTATATATTTGGGTTTCCTACTATTGATCAAAACAAGCAGTGAGAAACCCCAAGATATTAAATTTACAATAATGTAAAACAAACAAAAATCACTGAATCCTCACATACGATAATCATGAGCCTAAAGATGTGTAGTAATTTTGCTTGAAAAATCATTAGAAAGATTATCTGATGTTTCTGATTAATTTCCTGTCCATTAATTGATTGTTTCAGTTCCACCATGCACTGACCAATGCAACTCTGTGCATGACAGGGCACAGCTTTTTTTGCTGACTTCCAAAGCTGAATAGAGTGGCATATCCATTACTAGAAGTAACACAAAAAAGCATTATTTATATGACGTATAAAAAAAGTATATTAGCACTGGTGTCTTGATGTAATTAGCAGAGCGG